CCCCGCACAGATCCGGGGGGGACACATGCCCCCCATGCCTCCCCTGGGGGTGTGCACAGCAGCAGGAGCCGCTCCCTGGATGAGCCACAGCTCCGTCCCACATTCTGCAGCCTCAGTGTGCCCCCGCCCCACCCTAGCCCTTCCCCCTAACCCCTCCCCAGACTTACCATCCAGATGCTACTCTCCAAGCTGCCAGGCTTCATATAGGCAATTGGATCAACCCACATGGCTGGTTAATAATTGGTTATTGGTATCAGCCCAAAAAATCTTTATCGGTACACCTCTAAAAAAAGAAAAGAATAATAAACCTAAGGCGCATTAAAAACAGGGGTGGAAATTGCCTTTTTTGGTTTGTTTAAAGCATCATATGAACCCACTCTACCAAATACATTGTTGGCCCATTCTGTGCTCTCTAGCCTAACCATTTTCATATTGAGTTACCCTCAGACAGACTAGGCTTTTACTAAATGATTGAGGGGAAGTCTGTCTTAGTTTACCTACTGATTAAATGTTTAACAAGAGCATCATCATAGCTATATTTGAGATCTCTTGTTTTTAGTTATCTTGCATTTTAGCTTTTGCCTACGTGGGGACTCAAAGTGTTTCTTTTAAAAAATGCTTCAATAGCTGAACAAAAGTTAGCCATTGTACTGGTGGTCACTTCCTAGCTAAAGCTGGTCACTGCCAAGTATAACCGATTTTATGTAATGGCCCTGGGTACTTCTATATCCCATGATAAATCCCTGAGCCATCCATTGCCCCCTAATGGTATATTAATTGTATATTTTTTTTTATGATTATTTCTAGTTGGAATAGATGGGCTGGAGGTGAGCTTGTGTCCTGTCATAGTGAATCTGAAGACTCCTTAAACATCTTAAAGTGAAATCTCTTAATTTTAAAGATAATCTCTCTACTTGGCTTCTAGTGGAGCTGTTGGATGAAGTTGGAGGATACAAACAAGTTTCTTTTTAAAGTTAGAATTAAGATCACTTAATGTAGTAAGATTTGACCTTGAATTCCTCAACCTTGCAATACTAGCCTTTCACTTATAATGAAGTCTTTAAAAAAAAAAAAAAAAAGATAATTTGTAAGGCTTATTTCACTGTGGAAATTTCCTCCAGATATGAGATCTTCATCCTTTCTCTCTGTATAGTTGCCCTTCAGTTAGTCGTCCTATTTATAAAGTTGCTGCTTGGACACAGCATTTCTATTAGTATTTAAGCTTTGCTCTTTGTAGATCAAAAATATGAACAGGAAGCTTCACTGTCTAAAACGTGTGAGATTTTTTACATGGGTGTGTGTATCAAGGTGAACGCCCCGCCCCGCCCCCTCAGAATTGTGTCACATACCATTGTAAAACCCAGAAAGCAATGAAGGCTAGAAGTTGATTGTGCGTTTCTTCTTCCAAGAAGTTTGAGACTTAGATTTGTCATTAGTCCTTGGTTCATCAGAGTTTTCCCTTACTCAAGGTTTAGAATAGTCCCGAAAGGCTCATCTTTCTCAGGTCAATTTAGTAAAGAATATATAGAGTATGTGACAGAATACAAATGCTTTGTTTCCTTAAAACACAGGAATTTGACTTACTGGATCAGACACAGGGTTGCACTAGTCCAGTATGCCATCTCTAACAGTTGTTTTATAGTTGTTATACGTTGATATTTCTTTTGCTGTCCCAAATACCAACCACGAGATTTAGGAATAAATGTAAAATGCCTTTTTCGGTGTGAGAGGTCTCCTGAATTTCCAGGGATGCATGACATCTCTGTGTTCTCATGGAGACTTTTTTTTTCCATATGTATAGAATTAACAGTATTGCAAGAAAGCAGGTTATACCTTGACTATGTAGAAGTTTAGTTTAATGTAAATTATGTAAGATAAGCCTTTGGGAAACTTCTAAGGCCATCATGAAATTTTCCTCTTCACAGGTCTATTTCAAGTGCCAAGTGACAACTTTTGGAAGAATCTTTGTCACAGATGTCCTCTCTAATTAAACATAATGGTCTGAAAAAAAATCCCATGACATTTTTCTCAATACTTTATTATTGCCTGTGGCAAATACCAGCAAAGCTTTCTCCTCTGTTCTCTGAAGTCCAGGTCTATCCTGAACAAGCAGACGGCACATTCAATAGATTCTGGGCAGCTAGTTTCCCAGCTTGAGAGAGAGGAATAAGGCTTACAAATAAACATCAGAAGAGAAACATTGTCACACTTAGAATAGTTGGAATTGCCACTTGGCTCACTCAGGGAAGACTTTGTCCCAGATTATATCAGTGCAGTGGCTACCTGACTGATTGGGGAGAATTGCATGTGGGATGTGGAAACTAAGGGCTCCTTATAGACATGCAGAGAGCCTGCTCCAATGTGTTGGATTTCCATTACATCAGAGCAGATTTGATTAATCAAGTCTACTGGAGCACAGAAATTGACATTCTCTGGCAGCCTTCCATGTCATGTGTATCAGTGTCCCTGTGCTGAAAAAATGGTGGTGGGACACTTTGAACTAAAACACATTTGACGCCACCATTTTTCATCTTGGGAGTGATGCATGTGACATGTGGGTGCTTTTAATTAGCATGGCTTGCTAATTTAAAGAGGCTGGCGCAGAGTCCCAGAGCATGTGTAAAAATGTTCTAAGAGCATGGATACACTAATGTGTACCTTAGCATATAATTTACACTACTTTTCTGTGCAAATGAAATTTTTTTTTATTGGGATGAAGAAGGGATAAACATGCTAGTGTCCTGGGGTATTTGATGTGGTAGATGGCTATTACTGTGTTTTACCACTAGGCAGCAGGAGTGCAGGTATATAGTCTGTCTTTAGCAAAAGGTTACCCTAGGCCAGGGGTTGGCCAGGTTTTGCCACCATGGGCTGCTACTTCTGACCCAAACCTTGCTGCAAGCTACACGCCCACAACCTCCAGCAATCAAGAGATGCTGAGAAGGAACCAGATAGAAAGTGATCTGGGAATGCCTCCCATGCTGCAGTAGAGAGAATGAAACTGAATGCAGCAGGCAGTTGGACCCTGGGAATGCTGCCTCTGCTGCTGTGGCTGGAGCATGCTGCAGATTCCCTGAGCTGCAGCAGGCTGGATCCAGTCTCTTTACAGGCTGGTTCCAGTCTTTGGGCAATAAGTTGTCAACCCCTGTTCTAGGCTGATCACAGACAGAACCGGTGTAACTTACATAGTAAAGTTGTGCCTGATTCTTTCAGCAATAATTCTTTACCACATTAGGTAAAGTTATTCTGATAAAAGATTTGCAGTATCTATCTACTATTTTTTTTGAGCATAATGCTGATTACAGGTGTAAACTATCACAAATGGTTTTATTCTTTCATTTACAGTCTGTTGAATTTTGGTTATCAGTCTCCTGCAAAAAGGGCTGTTCTGAAAATTAGGCATTTAAGCTGTGGACACACATTCATTAGCAGTACTACCAGTACCAGTACACCTCTCCTCCCAACCCCCTTCAGGAGGGAAACCTGTCAGTCATAGGTAGTTCTGGATTTGAGCAGAGCTTCATCTCCCAGTCTGGGGGCAGCAGTGGGCTCTGTGACGCATAGTGCACCCACCACTCCCACTGCCCTGTGGCAGAGGGAAGGGATTGACCTCCTGCCACAGGAAGGCAGAAAGAAAAGGTGTTGTTCCTTGGGGACCAGGACAGTTGCATGCTCTCTGACAGCTCGTCACCCTTCTGCAAGAGGGTAATGAGGAGAGTTCACTGTTGCCCCAAGAACTGGAAGTTTCAACCACTGCCGTGCTTCCTGTCATCACAGCAAGCAAAGATACAGCCCCATTAGGATGCAGGCTACAACTCTGCTACCTGGTGAGCTGTCATTGAGCCAGCTGTTCTCCCTCTGTCCTTGGAGGGATGCTGTGGGGAGCAAGAGGCTCCCGGTAGTTCAGCATTTAACATTAGACATCATCCATGGTGCTACAGAGAAAATAAAACTTAGTGCTTACAGAGAAGTTCTTGTTCAACTGGGAGCAGTTTTATACTGCTACAGGTTGGGTGCAGATTTGTACACCCACTTTTTTTTTTAGCAATGCAAAGGCATATTTAGTGCTACAAATGTAATCTCCGCCCATGGCTTTAGTCTGCATTTATATTTCTTATTGAAGTATTTCAATATTATGGATTCCTACAAAGAAATGCTACCCCTAACAGACTGAGGAATCTAACATGGTTCCTTTTTTGTTTCAACTTCACTAGTATGTTTCACATTTCTGATTTGCACATTTCTGAAAAAGCAATGCCCTACCTTCTTAATGTGAGTAATGTCTGGGGTACACACTAAATGCTTTCTAAGTAAAACTTCCTAAAGAAAGATTCCCCTTCCCCCCTCCCCTGCAGAAAGCACCATAGAGATTTGTGGGGCAGATGGCCGATATGTCTCCTTAAATATCAGCTAATACCAATCCAATTTCCAATACAGCTGCTTCCAGCTGGTAAGTCCTGTGTGGCGGGAGGCAAGAGGCATGGGAAGGGGGGCCATTAAAATTTTATACAAAGAAGGTTTAGTAGATCCTGGCAGTCCAGTGGAGAACCGATTTTAATTTTGAAATTGTGATACTATATTACCCCTTCCTGGCAAATTCAAGCAATATATCATTTGAACTGCAATCAGAAAGATATACATGTATATTAGATGGTAATTTGGATTGGAGAAGACAGAATAATTGCATGTCCATCATTCTGAACAGCTGAAGAACATTACAGTATTGCTGGCATGGGATTAAAAAACAGGAATTTGTATAAAATATATATGCAACTGATATATTGGCTAAAAGTCCATTACATTTACAAAAGTCTTTATATTTAAAGTTATTCATCTATAACATTTGACGTTCTTATTCACCAGTTGCCACAACTGTGGTGTTTAGTAAATGGCTTATAATAAACGATCTGCAATATAAATATCCTTTCTCTCCCTCTATTGCAGGAGCCTTGCTCAGCTGTCATGGGTTGTGGGAAAAAAATTGACAAATCTATAAAAAAAGGTTTGTATTGGCTGCTACATATTATAGCAAAAGATTTTGATGCCTTAAATGAGCGCATCCAGAAAGACACTATTGAGCAAAAAGCCTATGAAGAACAAGAGAAACAAGAACGAGCTGAAAGGGTGAGGAAGATACGAGAAGAAAGGTATTCTTTTTCTTTCTCTGCTTGACTTTTTTTTAATTTTTTTTTTTTCTTTTCCATACATAGAGGTTGTGGGGGGTGGAAAATATTTTACTAAATTAACTGTTACAAAACCAGTGCTGTTATTCTACCCAAAGATATGAAACTCAGTATTTAAAACTGTTCTGTTATGCTTGGGGTTGCTTGGTATTTTCTTACACTGGTCAACGTGTCCTGAAGTGAGGGCCATCAATAACAGATGTGGGATGGGTACAGCTTAGTCTATATAGGCTGACAAAGAGGCTCACTCCCAGCTTATTGTGATGCAGGGAGCTTACACTGGTACAACTTGTGTTAGAGTAACTCAGCTTTTAAATCCATCTATAAATAGAAAGGGTTAGTGACAATGCAGGTAGTCAGCTTGAATATTTTTGGCCAAATGGCCCCAATGCATTCAACAACGTGCTTTTAGTAACCTCCAAAATACACAAGACAAGGCCTCTGTGCTTTGAGGGGATGTAGTGGAAAATGGGGCAGAGCCTTCTGTGGTCATCAGCAGCCAATTGTGGCTCTTATTACAGGTGTTGTGAATTTGCAACAATGCACTTAACTTGAGCAAGGTCCTTTTTAGGAATGTTGCTTCTCCAATCTAAAATGTATACTAGCTGTAAAAGCCTATGCATTTCACTGTATTTAGTCAAATCAGTAACCTCATCAAATACATCGTCTCTCATTAAACTGCGGTCAAAAGCAGCACAGACTCAGTGATGGAAACAATGACATTGATCAAATGCAACACAACTGTAAAACATGCAGTCTTTATTGGGTAAACATAGTGATTGAGACCTTTTTAGTGTGGCTCTTAAAAGAAAAAAAAAAAAGTAAGTTGTTCCTTCAGGAGGGAATGGGCACTGGGCCTGGAGGTACTGCAATACCAAGCCACCACTCGGAGATAAGAGAACAAGCTGTGACACCCTCCCCTGATGCCAAAAAGCCACAAGGATAGGTTAGTGCAGCCCATCTGAATAAGATATATTGCAGTGTCCATTAAGCACAGTCCCCCAGAGTGTTGACTTTTTCAAGTCATGGTGAACCAGTACATTTCATGTTTCAACTGCCTCTTCACTCTCACAGCTGAGCTGTGCTTTTTCTTTCCCATTTCAAATTATTCCTGTTTCTTCACCAGCGTTAAATATCTGGCAGACGTCAGCAAACAGTTCACAAAGATTCCCTGCGTTGCCTCCTGTCTCAGCCTTTTGCATATGATTAATATGGCCCCACCCTCTTGAAGGTGGAACCAGACTAGGTTGCTCTGCACTTCATTTGCATATACATTTTTGGAGTATCCCAGGACTTATGACAAGCACACCTGGTTCCAGTCATGAGTGGGGGCTAATTAGCACATGTATCTTTTCTGGGAGGTATCTGGAGTACACACACATACCAAGCAGTGCTAAGCTATCAGGTCACCATGGCTTTAAATGAACTATATGGTAAATCATGAACTTTTTTACTGTGGACTAATGGCATGTATAGTAAAATAGGTGCTGAAGTGCTGCTTAAAATTTGTTTTACTTGTGCTCAAAAAAGGTAAAATGCATCAATTCTGTGTGAGCCAAGTTTATGGTTACTATATGCAAATGACTACTACAATATTTATTTTCCGGACAGTGTTTTCAAATTTGCTCCTCACTTCCATGTGCTCGGGGAGAGCAGGGTCTACCCTTAAGGGGCTGGAGGCAGGAGGGAGTAGGGAGGAAGCAGAGGGTAGGGGA